CCTGTTCCCCAAGATCCCCTCGATGTGCCCCAAACCGCGACCCCACCTTGATCTTCTCACTCTGTGCCCGAGACACCCTCTACCCTGAAGTGCCACTTCTGCCATAGCTGAGGTCTCCCCGCAAATCCCCTCCACCCTGAGGTGTCCAACCATGTATGCTGAGACACACCCCTCCACCCAGAGGGCAGCTTTCACCCTCAGAGCCCCTCACCCCACTCTGAGCCCTCAGAGGTACCCCGCTGTATACTATATACCCCACCTACCCTGAGGGTCTCCTCCACACCTGAGGTCGCGTTCCACCCCGACACCCCTTACTCTCACCTCAGAAGTCCTGAGGTACCTCTATGCCCTAAGGACCCGACCTCCCCACCCCTTAGGTTCCTCCTAGGCATTCTGAGACCCCTTCCTGAGGTCGCCTCGGGTCCACCCCGCTCCTCACCCATCACCAAGGTGAGCCCTGCAGGTATGTGCAACCTGCAGTTAGGCGCCCCTGCCCAGAATCTTCAGCTGTCTCTACCTTTACCACCCCGCAGGAGAGCATCTCCCTTTGGGGGCTGGTTGGCAATTTTCATGCTGCACATTAAAAACTCAGCAACTCAGTACTGCATCGGAGCCTTGGTTACTTTTTTTGTTTGAGACTTCTCTCCCTGGCTCAGTTACAACTTGAAAATAGCAAAGACATTTCCCAAATCCCTGTAGGACTTCTTCTCATCCTCCTCTCCTCAATTCTGCTGGCAACAATGTTCAGTCACTCATTGTCCTGGGACGTGAGAAAAACAAATTCAGCTTCCTGGGCGACATCCCGGAGCTGTGGAACGCCACCAGAGAGGAGGAAATCTGTTTGCAATAAGCTTCGGGGGGTTCTGATACTAGAGCCACTGGCCCGGCATGAGGTGAGTGGCAACTCATCTGGGTGGGCTCTGTGGCTCCTCACATCTGCCTCTAAGTGCAGACTGAGGTCCGTTTCCCAGGTGGCAGAGACAGAGTCAGTGAGGCAATGTCACCGAGCAAGTTACAAGGAGGTTGGTGTTGGCATCTGAAGTTGTCAGCCTTCTCCACAACCAGGACGATAATGCCCTCCTTGACACAAAGACTGTGGGAAGCAGTGGGGTCCAATGGCAGCCTGATTTCGATTCGAGGCTTGCTGGAGTTCGGCCTCCTTTTGAAAATCCTAATCTATACAGTCTAGATTAGTTTTGGGTATCTACCCGCCTTTACAGAACAAAAGTATTCATAATAACTTTTTAACCTCCCAGAGTAGACCCACTTCCTAGCTGTGGCTTTTCTACCTTGGTTACTTAGAAGCTGCTGCCATTTCTCCCAGACTCTTAAGGCAGTGAGTCAAACTGCACCTTAGCCAGAAACCCATCCCCAGTGGTTATTTTTATCTCTTACTAGGACTAATTCATTATTGTAAAATCTTTCCTTGAACCTAAGTGATAACTTGAGAGAAAGGCTATTGCCTGGTGACTTTGATCCACTAGCAGGTTTCCACCAGTTTGAAATAGTATCTTGAACCGTCCAGGTCAGCACTGAAAGGGAATTAGCAAACTGAGTCTTTAAATATCCCGATCTCAAATAGATGTATTCGCCTAACCCCACAATTAATAGTTGTGAAACGAGGCAGAGATTACATAGGGACACGCGATGGAGAGGAAATAAATGCCAAACGTGCCATCTTCGACTCTGTTGCCTAGCTTATAGGTTAATTCAGGATCATCGAGGGAGGTTTGCACTTATTTTTCAGAAGGAGGCTGGCGCTTCTTGTCACTTACCTTCTGTCTCAGTCCATTTGGGCGGCTGTCACGAAATCCGGCAGGAGTAGCTTGGAACAACAGAAATTTATTTCACAGTCCTGGAGGCTGAAAGTCCAGGATCACGGCACCAGCATGGTTGGGTGAGGGTGCATAGCTGGTTCTTCTTTGCCGTGTCCTCACATGGTGGGAGGGGTGAGGGATATCTCTGGAACCCCTTTTATAAGGCATTGATCTCATTCATGAAGGTTCCTCCCTCAAAAGTCTAGGATATCCCAAAGGTTGTACTCCCTACTACTATCATCTTTGGGGGGTCAGGATTACAACATGAATTTTGGGGAGATACATTCAGACCATAGCACTACCTGTTCTTAGCTTCTTTCTTCATCTACTCTCATTCCTCCCAAAGCACTCACTAATTTGCTCTATTTTCTTATGTTTTTAGTATTTCTGTATATATACGTGCTGAAAAGCCCCACTTAGCAGACCCACTCCTTTCTGTTCTGTCCTTTAAGGGGAATGGAATTGATAAATTCTTCAGGGATCCAGAACCAAGAAACAGAGAAGAAATAATAGAAGGACACATTACAATTCATTGTCAGGGCAAAGGAATGCATACAACATGGTGGTTGACAGCTCAGGCTCAGGGAGAAAGGTCTGTTTGGAACCCCAGGTCTGCTACATTTACAAGTTGTGTGACCTGAGCAAGTCACTTCACCTCTCTGGGCCTCTCATCTGTAGAATATAACTATTGCATTGGATTATTGTGAGGATTAAATCAGGTGTTATTCATGAACGGTGTAGAGCATAGCATGAAGACTGAAGGATCTAATAAGTGTGTGATTAATAACTTACGATGGCTAAGGTCAAAGCAATACATACTAATGGATTGGACTACCGTGTAAGGTAATGAGTGTCATGCCACTAGAAGGATTCAAGTAAAGAAATGGTCGCCACCTCTTAGGTTTGTAAGAAGGATTTCTGTATCCATGAAGAGGCTATCTGAGAGAAACTCTGTGATCCCAGCTCTTGCGGGGAGGGGACCTAAGATGAAGGAAAGATTATGGGCCATAAAGGCAGGCATCTGGTTCTTGGCACAGAGCTGGATGTGTGCCACCAAACGTGCCCTTTGGACCCCACTTGGCCCCTGGAGGCTATTTTTACCCCTCTCCTTTTAGAGATCTATTTTGTTAATCTCTTTATATTTGCTGTTTTGAGTTCCCAGCCAGCTTGCTAATCAGTTTGCCTATTTGACTCACAGGGTTTGCATTTGTCACTGAGGCTTAAACACACACTTATTTTGATTTCTTTTTGTAAAATTAGAAGCATTTGATGTAATGACTCTACCTAGACACAGCTGGTAAAGTGAGAATAATGCTCAAGTTTGCACAGTTTAAACACAATGTAGACAATAATTAGAAATGCTATCTTTAGATGTTTAGGATAAGCTTGTTCTCAGAATTGCAGTGAATTTTTTTCCGAGTGGGGCCTTTCAGCAAGTGTATATACAGAAATACTAAAAACATAAGAAAATAGAGCAAATCAGTGAGTGCTTTGGTCAACTTGAAAGACTGCAGGAAATAAACCAACTGATTTTAGATCTGGCATTTTCGACTGATCACGGCACCAGAATGTTTGGGTGAGGTTGCATAGCTGGTTCTTCTTTGCCGTGTCCTCACATGGTGGGAGGGGTGAGGGATATCTCTGGAACCCCTTTTATAAGGCATTGATCTCATTCATGAAGGTTCCTCCCTCAAAAGTCTAGGATATCCCAAAGGTTGTACTCCCTACTACTATCATCTTTGTGGGGTCAGGATTACAACATGAATTTTGGGGAGATACATTCAGACCATAGCACTACCTGTTCTTAGCTTCTTTCTTCATCTACTCTCATTCCTCCCAAAGCACTCACTAATTTGCTCTATTTTCTTATGTTTTTAGTATTTCTGTATATATACGTGCTGAAAAGCCCCACTTAGCAGACCCACTCCTTTCTGTTCTGTCCTTTAAGGGGAATGGAATTGATAAATTCTTCAGGGATCCAGAACCAAGAAACAGAGAAGAAATAATAGAAGGACACATTACAATTCATTGTCAGGGCAAAGGAATGCATACAACATGGTGGTTGACAGCTCAGGCTCAGGGAGAAAGGTCTGTTTGGAACCCCAGGTCTGCTACATTTACAAGTTGTGTGACCTGAGCAAGTCACTTCACCTCTCTGGGCCTCTCATCTGTAGAATATAACTATTGCATTGGATTATTGTGAGGATTAAATCAGGTGTTATTCATGAACGGTGTAGAGCATAGCATGAAGACTGAAGGATCTAATAAGTGTGTGATTAATAACTTACGATGGCTAAGGTCAAAGCAATACATACTAATGGATTGAACTACCGTGTAAGGTAATGAGTGTCATGCCACTAGAAGGATTCAAGTAAAGAAATGGTCGCCACCTCTTAGGTTTGTAAGAAGGATTTCTGTATCCATGAAGAGGCTATCTGAGAGAAACTCTGTGATCCCAGCTCTTGCGGGGAGGGGACCTAAGATGAAGGAAAGATTATGGGCCATAAAGGCAGGCATCTGGTTCTTGGCACAGAGCTGGATGTGTGCCACCAAACGTGCCCTTTGGACCCCACTTGGCCCCTGGAGGCTATTTTTACCCCTCTCCTTTTAGAGATCTATTTTGTTAATCTCTTTATATTTGCTGTTTTGAGTTCCCAGCCAGCTTGCTAATCAGTTTGCCTATTTGACTCACAGGGTTTGCATTTGTCACTGAGGCTTAAACACACACTTATTTTGATTTCTTTTTGTAAAATTAGAAGCATTTGATGTAATGACTCTACCTAGACACAGCTGGTAAAGTGAGAATAATGCTCAAGTTTGCACAGTTTAAACACAATGTAGACAATAATTAGAAATGCTATCTTTAGATGTTTAGGATAAGCTTTTTCTCAGAATTGCAGTGAATTTTTTTCCGAGTGGGGCCTTTCAGCAAGTGTATATACAGAAATACTAAAAACATAAGAAAATAGAGCAAATCAGTGAGTGCTTTGGTCAACTTGAAAGACTGCAGGAAATAAACCAACTGATTTTAGATCTGGCATTTTCGACTGAATGCATAAAATCTTTACATTCTCCATAATTTTCATGACTAGCATATGATCTAATAATTTTAAGTGACAGACTGTAACTGATAAGTTGCTACAATATGCTAGAAGAAACCCTCAGCCAATACTTGGGCTGCAGCAAGGGTAGAAAGAGAGAATGACCCAAATAATAAAGATAATTAATCATCTATATCAGGAAAATTACTAGATTTTTATTTCAGGTAACAAAAAGGATAAAGTTATAATACATGATGATCCTAGAATCCAATAAAGCAAGGTCTGCAAATGAATAAAAGTTACTTCTTTCTCTAAATTACCAAATAGCAGCTGGTTTGCTTTTTCTTTTTTTTTTTTACGCCAATTGTTTTTAAATTTAATAGGCTATCACTGGCCTAAGTTAAGTTCTCAAAATATATTCCTGGGCTCACATAGATTCCAGAGAGTCAAGTTTGTCAGTATTATGCAAACATTCCCTATGGATCCAAAAATTTTCCAATCATTAAAGAGGTGATATAAATATCATTTTAAATTACCTTCATGCTATATCAACTTGTTTTGTTTCTGTGAGCCATCATAATATCAAGAGATGGGTCTTTCTTAGTTTTCCTACTTCTCATTTTTAATTAGATTCACTACTGAGCTCTCTATTGCATCTCTCTGATCTTTGAATTTTCTCTGTTCAGAAAGACATGTGGAAAAAAGGGAATATATTAAAGTAGTGAGTTAAGGGGAATCCTTTAGCTTTTTGACACCCTAAAGTACCCTCGGTTTTATTAAGGAGGAAGATTGTTCTAAATTGAGGCTTCTAAAATGAAAGCGGAGGGCAGAGGGAGAAGGTGCTCAAATAGAGAACTCTTGCCATGAGAAGTAGGGTACCAACCCACCCACCGGGCTGCAGGAAAATGATCAATCCAGGAGAAAGTCCCATTTTTTGGTGGAGCAGAAAACCAAGAGGGGCAAAGGCATGCTGTCATTTAAAAAAGACAGGGACGGGAACCCCAAGGAGCAAGGAACTGGTCTTTGAAATTCCTTGAGGAGGAGATTGAACATTTTATATTGCATAGTGAATTGGGGTGTAAATGCTTCTGTAGGAAGAACATATACAAAAATGCACCCCAACACGTGAATGACGGATAGCAGAATCTTTTTTTAGGACTTCACATCGTGATGGTGGTGTGAGTTTGGGAGGGAGGGCACAGAAGAGAAACAACGATGGGAAAACGAATTTAGCTTACTTAAGATGGCCACCTGGGAGGAGGTTCTAGACGGGACTGAGCTGGATGCCATCAGAAGCCTCCCAGCTAGAGAAGCTCAGGGAGTAGCTGTGCGGGAGAGGAGGAAAGGAGGAAGGGGAGAGGAAGGTGGGCAGAGGAGGCTTGGAAATGAAAGGAGTTAGAGATGAGAAATGCCTGGTTTACAGAAACCAATCCATTTTCACAGGCCTTAATTAAAAGAACAACAAACACTCATATGTAAAAATCCTCACCTAAAAGCTCTCAGGTACAGAGCGAGCGCAAGAAATGCAATGTATGCAAACAAGCTTTCATTAAGAGACCTGTCAGCTCTGTTTCATTTATCCAGACTGTTCTGCATCCTGCTGGCAACCGAGCTGGAAAAATAATAGAAGGAGACATACTTGAAGAGGTAAAAAGAAAAAAAAAAAAGGTAGGAACGTTCCAGCTACAAAACAGGACAGATGATAAAGCAGCCAGGGAAGAAGTGAGATGAGATGGCATTTTTCTTAACTAACAAACCAACCAACGATAACTACCACCCTTTCCCCCAACCCCACACTCAGTAACATAATATTCTGGCTTTTTAAGGGGAAGCAAATCAAACAAAAACAGACATGTGGGGTGCAGAGACAATGCTGCTGGTGGCCTGCTCAAATCTATTCCCTCTTCTCCTATACCTCTCAAGACCTGATTTTGTTTTGGTGTTTACTCTTTTAGAGTCTGCCTTTCCAGGCACCAGCCCCTTCCCAATGCAGAGGGTGATCTCGACGACCCTAAACCCATCACAGAATTTCATCTTCCTTGCCAGGTATTGTTTAGACATAGGCATGTGACAATTCTTACCAATGAAATGTGACGAAAACTGGTTTTTTTTTGTTCTTAAACACACACAAAGACACACATACATTCACACACACACACATGGGGAGAAAACTTCTGCCTTCGAAGACAAAAGTCACAGCAGGTGATGCCTGGAGCTATTGCAGCCATCTTGTTAGCTTGAGGAAGTAGCTGACACCAAGGGGGACAGAGCAGAAAGATGGAAACCCAGACCCTCAATGACTTTCTTGAATGAACCAGCCCCAGAATGCCCTACTTCTGAAGTTCTTATTATGCAGTATGATTCATTCCCCTATTGTGTAAGTTTCTTCAAGTATGAATTATAGCTGAGAATACCTGACTCATGCAGGTTTATCTGATGGAGTAGGGGAGAGAATGCTGCACACTCTCTCGATAATTCTTAAAAAGACAAAAGACAACAGTAAGTAATTGATGAAGCTCTCTTTAATGTCTGTGGACCAGAAGAACCACATTGGGTTGAGATAGCAGAGGTGTGACAGTGTTACATGTGCATCGTCAAGGTTACACATGTGACAGATAAACTCATTGGTTCCAATGCCATCTAAAACATTCTAAAACTTTCCCAGGCTAACTGCACACACAGTTTAGGTGATCGCTCCCTATGACCTCTCTGCCCCTCACCCCAGACTCTCTGGTGCTCACAATAGTTTTCCTGCCCATGATGGAATGCGTTGGGAGTTTACGATAAGCCAGGTTTCCAGGTGATGAATGAGCCCTAAAGACGTGCACCTGGCCGACTGGGTGTCAAAACCAGAGCTTCTGAGGGGAGGGGTTTTTCTTTTTATTACTGTGGTAGCTGTGTTCTCCTTTGGTGGCTCTGGTGTTCTATGCAGTAGTGCTGAACATTTGCAGACAGTTAAGGCCTAGTGCAGCGGGAAAATTATTTCTGTAGCTGGTGGGCTATGCACGCTCTGCAGCTGCAAAAAAAAAGGCTTCCCTGGAGGGGAAGTTAAGAGGATGGGCCTGGGGGCTGGGGAGAAGCTGGAGCACAGGGGGAGAAGCTGGAGCACAGAGGGAGGAACGGGGCATTGGGGCCTGGCAGGCGGGGGCGAATGGTATGTCCAGCTCACCAGGACTCGGGTGCGCTCCTTCGCCCCCCGTGGAGTTGAGCTCTGGTGAGTGGAGAGAAAGCAGCTGGAGGTCCCTCCCGCCCCAACGTGCATGTGGCAAAGGACTGAATCTTCTTGTCTGCACTGCCGCCTCCTTCAGAGGGAGACCGCACAGAGTCTGACGGCATCGGCATGCCCGCTCTGCTAGCGGAGTGCTGCCGGGAGATGAAACGGGGCGGGGAAGGGCCAGGGAGAACTGGCCACCCGTGTGCGGTTCACACCTGGGATCACAGGCCTGGTGTAAACATCTGATGTTGGAGATGAATTTTCCACCTTTCTCGCCTTGGGAGCCTCTCCTTTTCCTGCAGGAGGGCCTCTCGAAGGAGTGATTCTGGTTCTCGGGGGCGTTTTAAGCTTTGGGATCTGGTACCAGGTGTTCCTGGGGACGTGAACTGAGTTCGGCTCAAAGAAAGTTCTATCGTTTGATGAGCCTTCAATGTTCTGCAGTGCCAGATGCTGCTGAGAAAAGCTAATTTTATCCCCAAAGAGAGAACCAGGCAGGGTCCACCACTCCCTCCTTTCCCACCCTTGGAGCTAGTACACAGTTCTACGGTTGCCCTTCACAGGAATAAAGTTATTCGTTTTCCTCTCTCTTCCATTACAGGGCCATGAGGTCTGTGTCTGGTTTTCAGATCCCTGTACCAGGCTGCGCAGTGGACACAGCCTCACCGTTCTGTTGGAGGAATGAAAGGTTTGAAGTTTCAGGTGGTACGAGGAGGAACTGGATTGGCCCTAAGCAGCTGTATCTTGCCCGAACCCCACATCGCCATAAAAACCCATATGCAGCACAGGCTGAATGAGAGAAATAGCGTTTCCAGGTTCTGACCCTCATTTCATCTTAGAAACAAAAAATCAAAATATCCCTGGAGTCCCCTTCCTCCTTTCTTATCTCCCCATCAATCCGGGTCGATTAATCCTCCAGAATTACAGGCTGGAAAGCTCAGCTCTAGCAGTCAGCAAACAGGTCTCCACAGGGGCTGTGGATTTCAAACCGGAAGCCCAACCTTCTGAGCCCGTTAAGCCCCTTCCTACCCGCCAGTCGGTGCCACGACAGACAGAGCTACAGGCAGGGCGCCAAGAACACCCATGACGGGAGGTCCTACTGGGCCCTGACATGATGAAGTGGAGCGGCGGGCCCTCCGGACCCATTATGCTCAATTATACCTTTCTCTCCGGCCGCCTAACCATCACAAAGACGAAGACCTGCTTAAAAATCCCATCCGTTTCAAGCTCTTCCCATAATTTTGATCGACAACATTAAACGCTAATAGAAAAACATCTTATCTCTAATAAAACAAATGCTGACAGAAAGACGGATGCTGAAAACCAGCCATATGGCGGACGCGATTCCGTGCCTGGCCATGTTCACAGCAGTGCATCTTCGGCAGAAAGAAATGACACTGAGAAGCCTGAGGACCGGCATTTAATAAATCAAACCGTGCTGGCATCGTCAGAATATTCACAGTATGCAAAACGATCCGTGCCTGTTCTCACTTGCAGACTTGGAGGTGTTTTAGGAGAATGTGACTTCAGCGAGCTGTTCTGAGGCTTAATTCTTTACTGTCCCCAGTGCCTTCCATGTGTCATCATGCCAGGTCCCTCCCTCCTTCATGTTTTCATGGCGCTCCGTGGGTCTCCACTCTCTGGGCTCTCCCTGCCATCTTCCAGGGTGGATGCTTCAGCCTCTGGCTGGCTGGACTCAAAGGAGTCCTGGCAAGATTTGGGGAGCTCCCCCTTGGAAGCCAGGCTCGAAGGGGACGGCCCCATCTCGTGCCCCTGACCCTCCACGGGACTCTCTCTCCTGACCCCTTCTGGGTCTGCAGCTGCCTGTTCCTCTGTCAGTTTCGTTATTTCCCTTCCAAGCCTGTTTACTTCTTCCTGGGAAGGTAACTGGGGTAACGAAGGATGAAAGTGCTTGCGCTGGCTCCCGTGGCCCTGATTTGCTGGGGAGTTGACAGCGGGCCTCCCGGCATCCTCTAGCGCTGTCAACACCTCAGCAGCGGCACAGCTTTCATCTCGTGCTTGCTTCTGAGCCTCCCCTGGAACAGACGGAGGACAGCATCAAACCTCTGGCTGGAAGTCAGCGCTCACTTCCCCTCTCCTCCCGGCCTCCCACCCGCTGTCACAGGGCCTCCGAGACAGAAAATGCTTTTAGGCTCCTGTCCCCCTTGCTGAAGGGAACATGGGACCTGAGTTCACAAGAGAAAGCCGCAGGCACTTGGGTGATCACTATGTCATTAAGGGAGGGAAAGCGAGCACCTGGGCCGTGTTCATGATGCATCGTTTCGAGGCCCCTCATTATCTCCTGCTTCGCTCTCTAGCGGTGGCTCCTTGTGCCCATTAAATATTTACATCGAGGACAAAGGTTTTGTACATTCTGTAGCTCAGCGGAGACCTGGGGCTCTTTAGAAACAAAAAGTGAATGCTTCGGAGTGGAAAACAAAAGCAGCGCTCAGGGAGGGACGAGTGTCCGCCAAACCCCATTCTCCATCAGCAGCTCATTTTTTGGTGCAGACACTGACGTTTCCTCGATTTCAAATAAAACGACATGCGAAAGCAGTTTCAAGCTCCCTCTGACCCCAATTAAATTGTTGTCCCTAAACCCCTTCTCTATATGAGACATTCTCGAGCTACAGCTGAAGGTGGCGGGAGAGAACTCGGCCCCCCGAGAGCAGTGTCTAGGCCCCATTTTCCTACTCGCTGGCTTTGCGATCAGGGGACCTGTCTGGCCTCCTTTTCTCAGATACGAAATGAGGAGGAAGACTCTCTGATGTCCCTCCGGGACCTAGCAAGCAACGGTGGCTCCGCATGGAAGCAGTGGGTGAGTGAACTTTTCACACCTGGGCACGTGCATCCAACACGAGGCTCTGAGGTTCCTAAAAGTCAAGGTTTTCTTAGCCCTCATGCCACACAGTGATGCAATGTATGCAAGAGGCTCACTGGGCTGAGGTCAGCCTAGGCAGAAGCCTCCAGGGTTGAGGGCCCCGGGGAACACTTCCGGGGTTCCCCACAACAGAACCAGAGTAGAACCCCACTGCTGTCAGGCTCGCATCAGATACATGCAGGTGTGCCTTCGGACTGAGAGCCGGAACCTGGGGGCGCTGAGGGCGAACTGTAGGAGGGTTAGAAAGGAAGCTGACCCGTTCTGACCATGCATTTCCCTGTGTAAAAGTTTTGCTGGAGCCTGGCCACTTTGAGGAGACATTTCAGTTCTCTTCACTTAGGTCCGTCATGAGGTCCTACCTGATCTGTTCCTACTTGGCCCTGCAGCCTCATTTCCCATGGTTCCCCCCACTACACGTGTCCTTCTGTCCATTCCATGTGGCCTTTCAGTCTGTCTGCACCACCTGGTTTCTCTAAACCTCTCTGAAATGACTCTTACCACACATCAGGTGATTTTCTGTGCTAGGCTAACGCTTAGCATTTTACATGTTTTTCCTCATTCTAGAATGTACTCGGGGCCTCACCGGACTTGTTCACTGAGCTTGGCAACTTCTAAGCATTCAAGCACGTGAGAAAGAAATAGTTCCTCATTTTCCTCTTTTTTTTTCTGATGGAAGTATGACATACATAGAAGTGCACGAATCCCAAGTCTAGAGCTCAACAAATTTTCACAAAGTAAACACGCTATTCAACGAGCAGCCAAGACAAGAAACAAAGTATTACCAATCCCTTACAAACATATCCTGGTCCAGGCCACCAGTCCAGTCCCCTTTCCTAGTCACTTATCTTCTGCCAAGGGTGACGAATATCCTACTTCAGACACCAAGGATGAGTTTTGCCTGGTCTTTGAACTTCATATACTAAAACCATACTGTATGTGCTGGTTTGTATTGGTTTGTGTTTATGAGACTGATCCATGTTATTATGGCTTGAATCAGTTCATTTGAATGTACCACAATTTTCAAAAGGTATATAAGTCTTGAACACAAACAGCATTTCACAAGGAAATACAAATGGACGGCAAACACATGAAATGATTCAGAACATCGCTCAAAATTGAAAAATCTAAATTGTAACTAGATGTAATTTTTCATTTACCAGATTGGCGAAATTTTAAAAGTTTGATAAAAAGTGTTGCTGAGGGTATGGGGAGATGGGTACAATCACGTATGACTAAAGAGAATAAAAATCAGGAAAATTCTTTGAAAGGGCATTTGGGCAATATCTATTGCAATCCTAAATGCATTTGCCCTTTGACCCAGTAATTCCATTATTAGGAATCTACCTATGGATATCGGCATCACCTGGGAGCTTGTTAGACATGCAGGATATTAGGAATCTACCTATGGATAGCAACTCAAATATTTCAAGACATATGGACCTAGGTGCTCACTACAACATTGCTTTTAATAGCAGAAACCTAGAAAGGATCTCATCATCCACAGGGGATTCTTATCTACTTGCAGAGCTATAAAATTTTTTCTGGTGGTATACACTAAAAATTTAGGATGCCCCTGGGGAACAAACTGAGGGTCAGGGCAGGCGCGAGGGTGGAGAAAGGCTTTAAATTCTCTCCCCCGCTCTCCCCCTCCTTCCCTTCCTTCTTACCCGTTCTCCCCGCTTCTCTCTTTTTCTCTCAATGTCTCACTCTTGCCCTTTCTCTCTCTCTCTGCCTCTCGGCCACAGAGTGAAGATACAGCAAGAAGGTGGTCATCTGCAAGCCAGAAAGAGGACCCTCACCAGACACTGAATGTGTTAGCACTTTCACCTCGGACGTCCCAGTTTCCAGAACGGTGAGAAATAAACATTTGTTGTTGAAGCCACCTAATTTATGGCATTTTGTTATAGCAGCCTGAGCTAGGATACTCAAAACTGTTTCTTGCATCTGCCCACTCTTCTCCTTTCTCAGTGCAGACTCTCCCTATTTGTGGCCTGGTTCTTTAAAGCCTCTCTGTATAAATCGCTTGGGCATATTTTCCCAAGATTCAGCAGGGTGTGACTTATCATGGCCTCAGCCAATGAACAGGTAAGCGTTCCGAAAACAAGCATTTCGAAAACAAGCATTCCGAAAACAAGAATTCCGAAAACAATGACTCCTGGTAGTTCATGAACCCAGGCCCTGGCAGGTGATAGGTATGTTGTGACTGTTTATAAGAATTATATGAATTTTTGAGGATTATTGATATAACTTAGAAAGACTGCGTATTTAAAAATGCATAAATCCAAGTAGATGCAACCTAAAAAAACCTATATAATCTAAAACGTTTGAATTAAAATGCAGCTTAGAATTTCTGCAACATGTAACTATTGTTATGTATGTGATCTACTTTAATTTTAATACAATGCATGAAGGTATTTCTTAAGAATAGGATGTTTTGAGCATCTATTTATTTAAATAACTAGAAGTGTTTTTGAGCATTTAGTTTCTTAAAATAGTGTTTAAGTAAC